TCAAGCAATGAAAGTGCCATTCTGCAGTTGTTATCTGCGGTGCTTTACCCCTGGCCTATCAGAAGTTGGTCTAATAGTGGGGAAATGGTTTGGTTCAGCAGCACCTGCTGAGCTGTGAGTGTCCAAAGGGCCTTAAGGAAACACCTTCCCTGTGCCTGTCACCCTCAGGGACAGCAAGGTGAGCAGGGAGTTTGTGATAGGAGAGGTATATAGCAGCAACTCTTCAGATCTTGGAACTCACCTTAGCCTAAAAATCAATATTTATTTTTAAATTTTGTGAGAGAAAGCACAATTTTTCCTAGTGTGAAAGTTCAGGCAGGCCCTAATAGCTGTCTGTGTAATTAAGTTGCTGGTATTCTGCCAACCTGTGGGGAGCAGCACCTCAAGAAGGCAAAAAATAATCTGTGCTGTCTTGGCAGTGAACAGGGACATGAGCTTTGACATGTTGGGGTGTGGGGGAGGTAGAAATATCAATCTTCCCTCCCCAGAAAACAAACAGTCTGAATGAAAGCAGTGACATTCCAGATGTGTTTGTATCCAGCCTTTGACAGTCTGCCACTCAGACAAGGATGTTTTGGGAGCCATGTGCTTTCTTGCTCATTTCCTTGCAAAATTTGCTGCTGAATTGCACTTTATCTCTGCTCAAATACACTTTTGCATGCAGCTGCTTTTTGCTCACCTCTCAACCGTGCTGACTGCTTGCACGGAGCTTCCAGCTGATAGGATATATCAGAGATATGCTATACAAGTGGTTATTGCCAGGCTGGGCGCTCATCCCATCACCTGGGAGTGCAGAGATTAAGATTATAGCTTGCTTTGTAAAAGGTGTAGTGAGAGATCAGGAACATTGCTGGGCTGTAAAGCCAGGCCTGTGTAGGAGGGGTTCAGGGTCCAATGCCAGCTTCACAGCCAGCTTCTCACCTGGCTTCTGCCTAGGTGCAAAAGTTCAGTGCTTCCCTCCTTGCTGTTTGCTGCAGCATTGCCTGGAGACTAAACCAAACAATTCCTTTCCTGTCCTGCCCTTCAACCACACCCCAAATCTTCTGAAAAATATTCCAACAGGGGCACACCTCTTGTGCCTGGGATCCATCTTGGCTGTAGGGTGCTTGAGCCTGAGCACCTGGGAACACTAAAACCAGTTTTAATGCAAAAGTTGATGAAATATAAAATGGAGGAGGTATTTGACACATGGATTATCTACTAATGTAGATAATGTTTCCCAAGACTCGAAGGTCTATTGATGCAATAAATGCAGCCAAAGGAATCTGGTGGATTCCTTTGGCCAAGTTTTCTGTTTCTGAGGAACCATTGTTTGACTTTGTTTAGAAATAATTTTCTACCCAGATGATGTTGTGATGCAGTAGGAATTGCTCAAAAATGAAGCTAAGACACATTATATGAAGCTGGTCTGCAGTTGCCACATTGCCAAAAATGCTGATGAAAGGCACTGGCTCACTCTGTGCATGCCTGGTGGTTTTGTGGCTAATCATTCCAGCTGGCCAGAGTATATGTTTGTTAATGGGAGCTCTTCTTTAAGGGCTATTTTAAATAAAAATAAATTGAAAACCAATAAATTTCCCCCACAAGCCTTCATCTCTTGAGGACTGGCAAATTGTTACTGGTCTGGAGCAGATTAAAAGATTTTATTTTTATTCCCTCTTTCTTTCTTGCTCCTCCTCTCAGCTGGATCGAACTGTCCCATACATAACAGCGTGGGCAGGCAGCTATCTGCCCCGTGGTAGTCATGAAAAATGCAACTTCAAATAATAAACAGATAATCTGAAGTTAAACAGAACAGTTGTGTGAAGTTTGGGTGTTATTTGTTTATGTGTTTAATTATATATTCTTTTGATTTTTCCTGCTCGAAGGCACTTACCCCTCAGCACTGGGGTGTGCCCAGGACTCCTGATGGGATCCCCACCTGCTGAGAAGAGACCTGGCACCAAGGTTCACCCTCTCAGAGATTTCCCTGTCTACAAAGCCACTTCCTCAGCTGGTGCCAGGAGTGCAGGAGACCTTCCTGGGGTGGTGTCCCTCTGTCCCACCCTCTGCAGAATCAGTCAATGAATTCTCCTGGAAAGTGTGGGCATTATCTGGCCAGCCCTCCTGACTTGTTCAGTAGGTCAGGAACCCGCACAGTGCTGGATTTTTCTCATGGTTTTGATAAGGGAATTCAATAACTGTCTTGAATAAGATAGCAGCCCTCTGTGCTGCAGATACAGCCAGAGGGAAATATGGGCATACCCTGACTTAGTTCATGAGGGCAGGGAAAACCAAACCAAAGGCTTTCAAAGACCAGGTTTATGATAGGACTTGCAGTCCTTTGCTGACGCAGAGTTTAATCACACTGATCTGAGCTGGTTAATAAAACTTCCAACAAGGTGATAAAGATATTTCATGTTTGCCTACTGTTATAAAATTAGCTACAGTTCAGGCATTTTGTGCCTTGATTCCATGACCTATTTTTAGTTACAGTAACTGTGAGAACTGCAGTGGTGATGCATTTTAGAAGCTAGGTAGCACAGTAATGGTAAGTCTGATTGATAGAGAGGTGAATTGGGAGGTGTAGAGTTGCTTCTAGTCCAGCACGATGCTGTGGGAAATTTGTTTTTGCAGGCAAATCTGATCTTGTTTCGAAACTGCAGTCTCAGCCCTGTAAGAAGGATGACATGTGACAGCACAGACCTGGCAGAAGAAATGAAGAAAAAAACATTTTCAGTCACTCCCTGTCCACATTATGGCTGTGTTACTGTTGCTTCTTACTGACAGGTTCTTAAAGATTTCCAGTTTGAATGAGAGATATCTTTTCCCTCCTTCTAAATTTTTTTAGAGGTGATATTTTTTTTGTGCGGTGTAATCTCATTCAAAATTAGCAAACAGCTTCTGTTGACTTATGATTTCTACTGGGGTGGATGCTGCAAAAAAGTAGACTTTCCAGTCCAGCAAGTGGGAAAAGGCCTCTGCAAGCTGGAGATAGGAGTGTAAGCACCAAGTCAGCCACAGGCAGCCTTGTGTGACTCCAAGCATGACTCTGTGTCCAATCGTCCTAAGCAGCACTTCTTGGAATTACAGAAAAACAAATAAATAATTTATTAGTAAATTGTTGGGACCTATTTTGGGCAAGTTCAAAGGTCCACCTAAGCATCCTTGATATATGAGTATCTATCCCTACATAGCAGTTTTCTGTGCCAGACTGAAATGGGAGACAGGCTCTTTCCTAACAATGTGCAAACAAAGAGTTTGTGATTAACAGCAATGTCACGAGCAGCTGCCAAGGGCTTGCATTTGACATCAGGGAGCGTGGTTCAGATGCACTAATTATGTTAAGTGGTGCTGATAACACAGGAAATGTTGGAAGCATTTTTCCTGCTTTGGAAGGTAATTGTACAAACTGACCTGTTGTCACCTAAGTGATCCTGAGAGATGAATGACATAGAAGTCACTGCTCTGTAATTCCCTGGGGTGCCAGATGCAGAGGAGATCACCTCCAAGAACATGGGGTGTGCTTTCCATAAACACAGAACGGGTGAGTTGGGAAGGGACCACAGCTGGTCATCGGGTCCAACCTCTCTGCTCATGCAGTCCCCTGGAACGTGTTACTCAGGATTATGTCCAGACAGCTTTTGAGCATCTCCAGGGAAGATCTCCACAGTCTCTCTGGGCCTCCTGTTCCAGTGCTCAGCCACCCTCAACAAAAAGTTCTTCCTCATTTTCAGGTGGAACTTTCTGTCCACCAGTTTCTGCCGTTCCTCTTGTCCCATTTCTCAGCACCACAGAGCAGAGCCTGCTCCCTGCTCTGACCCTTCCCTGTAGACAATGACAGACATGGCTGAAGTCCCCTCTCAGTTGTCTGTTCTTGGGGCTGAGCAGGCTCACCTCTCTCAGTGTTTTCTCATCACTGACATGCTCCAGTCCCCCCATCACCTTTGTACCTTTATTCCAGACTTGCTCCAGGAGTTCCACAATAATCCTCAAGTGGGGACCAGATTACAATGATTCCATCCCATGTCATATCATGGAGGTGGTGAAAGCCCTAATTCACATATTGAGAGGAAAAGTCCCAAGAGCATCACAGCTATGGGGGTGTTTTCTCCCTGTGGAGTTAGGCTGTACTCAATTGTTCTTTAGAGCAGTTTCTCTTCCTCTGGAAAACAGAAAGGTTAGAGAAATTACACTTGGGGATAATATTACCTTTTGTGCATGTTTGCTACAAATATAAGAAAGATTCACTTTGCAAAATGGAAAAGCAACAAATAAGTTTTCTTTGATGTAGCCCAACAGCTACCGAGAACAGGTGTTGGAGTGAGGGTAGCTGGAAAAAGGGAATGCTTTTTTGAGCAAAAGAGATACTTCAGCTCTCACAGGTAAAAAGATTTAAATAGTGAATCTGACAACAGGACAGATGGATCCAGATCACTAAGTAGCAACACATGTTTTCTCTTGGGGCTTTCCACTTGTGGTTTACCAGCCATGCCACAACAAAAGTCTTTCACTTTTCTGTGAAAGTGAGTCCATTTATTAGTCTTCCTCCAAAGCTGCATCAACTGTTGCTTTCCTGTGTTTAAGTGAGCTGCTGTCTTTAATGTAGGCAAACAGAGGGATGCTGGTGCTCCTGTGCAAGACTGGTCTGGGGGGAATGCAACGAGCTGGTTTCAGTTCTGGAAGCAGGAGTGTGTGCTGTGCCTTTGCTCGGCTTGGGGTTGTGGAGTTGGGTGAGAAAGGGATGAATCAGCCCAGGCTTAGTGCTGCCTTCAGGCTACTGCCTGGCTTTTGTGGAGTTTGTTGTGCTGTGCGAGGGATTTTGTTGTGTGAGCCAAAAGAAAGCAAAGGTGGTCAGCTCTGTGTTGGCCTTATCTGAGGCCTTTGAAAAGGAGCACTGATGGATGTGGCTAAAATAAAATTCACTTTGGGGGGAGGCAATGGCTTGGATTGACTTGTCTCTGTGTGTTGATAGATTTAGTCAAACATCCAGAAGAATGAATAGTTTTTATTTAAAATATAAACATGGCAAGTGAAGACAAAAAAAATGTTATTACAAAATTCCCAAGTCCTTTGAATGTTATCTAGGATTTATTGACCTCTAGGAATAGCTGGAACCCTAAGCTAAATGAAAGCACAGATTTTGCAAGAAAAGGCTTTTGTATTTAGGTGTATCCATGAAGTAGCCCAGAAGTAACAAAACCAGTCTAAATTTGTTTCAATACCCTACTGCAGAGTCACTGCTAGGTCACTTATATCTTTGAACCATTACAGTTGCAGAATATAAAAGTGGAAAGCACAGCAACTCAGCTGGGAGCTTCCCTGGGGGTATTGCTTTGACAAAAACTAACTGCTGCACTATTGCCAGATGGTCCTGCTTCCACATGATGTGAGTACAACAGAATTTTCACTCGGCTGGAAATTGAAAGCTGATCTTCATATGAAAAATCAGTGTCTGAGCTCAGTTGATACTGGAGTGCCTCTTACACACAGAGCAAGAACAAACAAGGCTCTGATTTATTCACAAAAATCATACAATTTTAGTCTAGCAACTCGTGCAGGAGAGGTCAAGTGTTTCCAGAGCTCAATTTAAAATAACAATCTCCATCTGCCCATGACAAGATGGGGAAACTGTCCCATCTGGGAAAGACAGCTAGTAAAAATTCCTCCTCCTTCAAAATTTCATATTATCAGCAAATTTTACTGTTTTGCTATTTTCAGCCACTCAGTTTGGCTGACTTGGGTCTGAAACAGCAAGGCACATGCACTGGCACAAGGAAAATGCAGTTTTTGGCTTTCTGGATATTCATGGACAACACACTGATAGAATGTGTTTTTTGTTCTTTTTTTGTTTTGTTGGGTGCATGCTAGGATGAGACACAAGCTCAAGTTTAGTTTAAAACTTCAGTTTAAAATCCTCCCTGGAAGCCACAGGAAGGTGCTTAAAAAAGATTCAGTTGAATCAAGCAGAGCTCAACCACAGTTTTTGTTCCATCCTGAGAAGGGTAAGTCCAGGTAACATGACAGTCACATAGCAGAGAGCACTATTTTTAATTGGTCAGATTTCCACAGCCTGTTTTTTCTCACAGCTGGCTCCTGTTGAAAGTGGAAGTCCCCTTTTTTGGTGGAATATTTGGTAGAAACCAAAATATTGCTATCAAGGCTTAAAGAAGGCACCTTCCCTTATGATAACACATTCAGTATTTGATCCCATTAGAGCAACTCCTGTTTTTGGAGGACTGGGTCAAAGTGTTCTGCCTGGTTCTGTACACAGTAGCAGCTGGTGAAAAGAGACAATGAAAGGATTGTAGTCTAGAGAGAGAGCAACATGGAAGAGGTCACAAATCTCACTCTGCAGACCCTTTCAGTTTTCTTTCTTGGTTTTAGCTGCCTTTCTTCACATGCAGTAGCCATCCTCAGGGAAAGGTGACAGCAAGAAAGTCCCATCCTCCTGAATGTGGCTGCCTCTGCTCCTGACAGTCCTCAAGGATTGTGATGAGAGGCTGGACAGTCACCAGCTTCCAGTGGTCTGGCACAGAGCAGCTGAGTCCCAGGCTTTCTCCTTTCCCCGGTACAGGTGCCCAAATCACTGACAATCACAGAGGACTGTCCAAAGTTCTGAGCTGGAGTGCTGACACAACTGTTCTGTGGACACAGTCAGTGGCTGGAATGAAAATCCAGCAGATTTTCCTCTCTCTTGTGTTCTAGAAGCTTTTTTTTTTTTTTTTGCCATTTCTCTTGGCAGAAGTCTGTCACTTGTACTACAAACAATGCTGCCACTGAGGGAGTGATGCTTCTCTTGACACATCTCCAGCTGTCCAAATTGTTGGCAGACCTTCCATTTAGGCAGGTGCTGTAAGAACAAAATAACTTATTTTAATTAAAAAATAGACAAAAAACTTCTCCAGAAATAATAATTCATATGTAACCAGTGGAACAAACTGCAAAGCTATGAAAAAGACATATTCATGCTGCTGAGAGAGAACTGACTGGGGAGAAGTCCTGCCTGGATACCCAAGACACTGGGGGATTTCTGTCCTCATGCCACAGCTGGAAGTGCCTCTCTGTGCAAATAGGAAAAGTGGCCTCCCTTGTGAAGGGATATCAGTGTCACCTTGGGTTCATTTAAAACTATTTCAGAGAATGAGATGCACAAAGCCTCTCTGTGGCCAAGGGAAAACAGCTTCCCCTGGGTCCTCTAGGGAAATGAAGGAATTCCTCCAGGTAATAGTCCAGAATTGCTCCAGCTCTGAATTTCTCCTCACCAGAGCTTCCTCCCCCACTGACTGGAATGGGTGTCTGGAAGGACTCCAGGATGGAGTTACTCTTCTTTGCAATCTGCCTTCCTCCCAGTTTCCAAACCCTTTTTTGCATTTGTAACAGCAAAGTTAGTTTCAGTAATCTCATTTTGGTTTGCAGTATTCAGGATCCTCACTGCCATGAAACAACCTGACCTTCTTCATAAGGTGCCAGAAGCAGAAGTGCATTTACATCAGTACTGAAAAGCAAAATGCTGTGGCAGAGCATCTCCCTGGATGCACCTCCTCAGGGCCTTACCCCCCATCTACCACCCACAACAGGATTGAAAATACCAAGTAATGATTGAATTAGGCTGGAATTTCTCCTAATCTTTTGTACTAAGGTAGTACCAGCTTGATTTCTAAATAATTCCTGACAGATACTGGTTTTCTCTTTTGTTAAGAAATCACAAAGCAGCAAACCTGGACTGATGGAGGCTTGATAGCCTGGACAAACTCTGCCTCAGTGCTCAACTACCATTACCCTTAGACAATCTCTTCTAACATCTGGCTTAAATCTCCTTTGTTTAAGTCTGCTGTGCCTTAATTGCAGTGTCAGCTGGGTTAGAACAATAAATAACTTGTCCCATCCTCTCAAAAGACACTCTGAAGAGGGTTGTTATTGTGTCCTTAATCAGCCTGGCCTTCTCCAGCCTAAACAGACATAACCCCTCTCTCACCAGAGATCACATTCCCTGGACCAGTTTAATTTCTCTGGTATTGTTCCAAATTTCCCTTAAATTGGGATGCCCAAAACATGGCCCTCAGAGGTGGGACAGCTTCTGTCATCAGTGAGCCACCAAAGCTGCTGTTCCATCTCCTCTTCCACAAGCTGAGTAGAGAAATGACAACAAAAAGCAGCATCTGGAAGGTGCCTTTGGTTTGTTCTTAATGAAAAAAATCATGCTACAGCAGCCTTTAAGACAAACAAGACAAATATTTACTCTTATTTATGTCACAGAGGCTTTTTTACTAATGGGCTAAGTCCAGGGATCAAACCAAGAAGGGCCTGGTATAAGTTAGTCTGGAGAAGAAAAAGTTGACCTTAAATGAGCTGCTTGTGTTACGTCAATGCAGTTCCTAGGAACAAAAGGAGAAAATGTCTCCTTATTTTAAGGAGAAAATCCATTCTCCTCCATAAATTATACTCTGCAGGAGGGAATGGCTGTTGATGTTTAGCAAGCACAAATGTTGGGGATCAAGCTGCAGTCTGAAAATAACTGACCATTAACCCAGTTCCTATGACTGTCAAAGAAGTTGTAGGAAAAGTAAAACCTTTTTTCATGGGTTTATTTATTTAAGGGTTATTTTGCTTCTGCTTGATACTATGAATTGTGTACATTCACAGCCTCTCCTACAGCAAACCATGCTTTAACTAGTACAGTTTTAGTGAAACCACAATATTTTCTGTATGTTCTGCAGAGACACACAGGCAACATTAGATTCAGTAGAAACTATCAAATGAGATACCAAATAGGCAGATATTTCACCCTGTACTCTTGCAAGTCCTCTGTCCAATTCTTTTTCCAAATCTGTCTTAATTTTTTTACTCAATTTTCATTTTTTTCCTTACTAAATAACAAATGAATTTGTAAACCAGCTGGCCTGCAATATTGCATGGCAATAAAAATAAAAATATGAACATGGAGAAGTTCTGAAGAGCATGTTTCTTCTAGAAAAGGAGGTTTTTTAAAAAAATTGGGTGTATATAGGCTCAGGTTCACAGACATGATGCAAATGATGTCTCTGTATCCCAGTTAAAGACCACCTAGGATGTAGTGCCTACAAAAATGCTTCAGTTTGTATCATCCAGCAAGTCTAATCTAAAGGCTTGTGCTGAACTTGAGTTCTGAAGCTATGAAGTTAAGTAATTTGAGACAGACAAAAGAATATATTTTTTAATACTTACAGCTGAGTCCTCCTTGGTCTTCTCTTTGTTGGACATCTGTTGAAACAAATGCACGGGTTTCAGCATGTAGGATAGACAACCACAGACTTCAGAAAAATGAGATTAATATTAAGCAACATCCACCAAAGCTGAGGGTTCAATGTGCTAAATGTTCTGTAAAATGCAATCCAATATCCTATTTGCTTACAACCCAGGCCACCATTTCAGAAAGGAGAGATTTTGGGACTGAAGTGATAGCCCTGCCCCCTGTCTTGGGACAGAGTGCTGCCTCACTCTTGGGTTGTTTCTGTAGGAAGCACATGACTTCTACAAGAGCTGCTGCAGATCCTGGACAAGATCATGACCCTGCTTTCCCCTGATCTTTTCTGAGGCACCCAGGGTTGCTAACATTGAGGAAGAGGGCATGGACTGAAAACATGGATTGTCCTTGTCCATGAAAAGTGTGGTTGTCTCTGCTCTGTCCCTTAGATGTTGGCTCCTGGACAGGGGCTTAGAGCAAGTGCTCAGCTACATTGGCAGACTCAGTCCAGTCCACAAGATGTCTTTTAGAGCTTTTTCAGAGTCACACACGTGGGCAAACCCAGCTACATGAGGGTACCCATGTGACCAGTGACATTTTTGCTTGATTCCAGTAGGATCCTAACCCTGATCATCCAGCCAGTGACTCCAAAGCTCTCAGGACTGAATTATGCTCTGATTTCTGCTTTGAACTGTGCTAAGCTGAGCAAGCTACTGACCCCAGTCCTATTTTATACCATTTGTCCAGAAGGAGCCTGCAGGGATCACAGCTGACAAACCATGGCCTGAACAGACACAAAGTCTGAGTTACTCTCACATCCAGAAATGACTTCCTGAGAGGCTCAGAATTCACAGAATCACTGGGTTGGAAGAGACTCCTTCAAGACCATCCAGTCCAACCCAGCCCCAAGAGCTCAACTAAACCCTGGCCCCCAGTGCCACATCCAGGCTTTGTTAAACACACCCAGGGATGGTGACTGCACCACCTCCCCGGACAGCCATTCCAGAACTTTATCACCCTTTCTGGCATAAACTTTTTCCTGATATCCAGCCTGTATTTCTCTTGATGCAGCTTGAGACTGTGTGCTCTGGTTGTGTAAGTGCTGCCTGGAGAAAGAGCCCACCCCCACCTGAGCACAGGCACCTTTCAGGAGTTGTAGAGAGTGATAAGGTCACCCCTGAGTCTCGTTTTCTCCAGGCTAAACACCCCCAGCTTGGAGAAAGACACAGACACAGGAAGAAAGGTTCAGACACAGGAGGAGAAAATCATAAAGAATAACATGTCCTGGGGCACTACATTTCCTCCCCAGGGCACCCCAAGTTTTTGTTAATGGCCTGATTTCCTACTGCCAAGTGGAGGCAGCTTAGTCATACTTCATCTCTTCCTGTTGGATAACATTAAGTATTTTGGCAAGTGTAAAAGGATTCTTGTAATTTGGTCATGCAAATGAAGAGTCTCATTACCTTTATAGGACACTAGATTAGAGGACCTCCTTCTCCACAGCCAGCAGATTAAACCAGTTAGAATACCTATCACAAAGACAATACTAATGATGCCAGCTGCTTGAGCACCTCGTCCTTTTTTTTCTGTTTTTTTTTCACTTTCTGTGCCAGGACCACTGCTTTTCTTCTGCTGCGTGTCTACAATAAAATAGAAAAGGATGTCATAAGGTGTAAATTTTCACATTTCATATCAGGCAAATATTTCACCAGGTTTTACATGCATAAAAAACTCTGAAGGAGTCAAGATTTGTGCTATTCATATCACTGTGTTTTTGGTGATTCCTTCTGAGTGAGAAACATCTCCAACTAATTATGTCTAAATACCAGTTTACTCTTCCCTGTCATCATATCACAGAATTGCATCCATTCTTCTTTTTTCCTTTTTCTTCTTTCCCTCCAGCTTTGAGAGACTGTATATTTAGGCTTGTATCTAGACTCAGTTGAAAATAAATCTAAATGGAATCTATAATGTAAATCTGATAGTATTCAGAAAAATGGGTGAAAACCCATTTCCCTGAAATTAGTGAAAGATCTTCACTCATTGCTGCAAACTGAAGGTTTCAAATCACATCTCTTACTCTTTCAAATGCGATTGAGAGACTTTTAAAAATGCACAAAAATATTAATATGAAGGTCTTTTCCCTCAGAAGACAACATAACAATGCTATTAGGAAACTAATGATGAGGTTACTTAGTTTTCCTTTAATTTGGGATGACAGCACAGTGTATTATCACATAAACACTCTACTGTGCAACTTCTGCTCATGTGTTCAATTTTTGCTTCTGGAAATAGTTTATATTGTTTGCCTACATGCATGGGATCAGTGTTTGGGGTGTTCAGGTAAATTAGCTGTGGGTATCCAGCTACAGTTATGGAAACATTGCAAGCTCCTTGCAGCAGGGTGCAGAGAAAAGTGTGGCTGGAGGCAGGACCAGGAACAGCAGTGAGATCAAACAGCCACCTCCAGACCAGTCTTCCACTCCAGACAGATTCTCTACACAGATTTTTGGAAATAATGAACTACAGTGGTGGTACTGGAACTGTAACTTCTTAATACCTTTTTTTTTAAATAGCTTTCTGGTTTTGTGAAGGGTTGAATGACTAAATACTTGCTTTTACTATTAATCATTGCATCAGTAATAATTAGCACATTATACTTGTGCTATAAGGTACATTGTTCTATTGAGCTCATATTGCCCATTTGCTGCAGACCTAGTTTAAGTTGTGCACTGTATTAAACTGAGTTTTGGAGAAACTGGAAATTGAACTTTGGAACTTGACAGAGTAAAAAGCAAATGTTAGTGTTGCAAGAGCATTGTGTAGGGGGTCAGAAATCATGGATCTGCTTTATGGTGGCCCCTAAAAAACAACCTGATTCCCCAAAGCATCATGTTCCTGAGGAACTAAAAGGTTAACCTCAACAACTGCCTCAGATGCAAGAGCTTCTCAGTGCTTTTGTCATAACACACTTGGTGGGTTATTCACTTCAATGTGGAAGATTTAAACATCAAGTCCACTGGCTAAGCATAACTGGAGCTTGAAACAAAGCCCGAGATCTTATCTGAACATTATGGAACTACTGAATTAATGCATAGCCCTCATTAGTGTGCATCTACAAACAGAGACACACTGGTTGATACTCCTGCTACCTAGAAAATAGAGCAAGCATGAGGGAACTTACAGTTGGCTGACAGATTTTCCTGCAGCATCTCATTTTCTATGGAGCACTCTATTTGCATGTTGGAAGTGGCTTTCACCTTCAGCGTGCTGAAAACACTGAAAGTGCCATCATTGTGGGGTATGATCTCTGTTTGTGATGAATTCAGGTGACTGTTGTTCACTTTATTGATCCAGTAAACATTGGGCTTTGGGTATCCATTGCCAGACCTGCAGTAAAAGGTCACCTCCTCTCCAGTGCTGTCACTGTTTCTTATTGGTCCACTGAGTATTGGTTGGCTGTAACTCGCTGGAGAGCAAGAAGAAAAAGAAATAGTTGTTGACATTTTGAAACATACTGGAAAGGCAAAACTTTGGGATGGATTCTGAACAAACTGCTGAATCACCCTCATGACTTGAAAAAGAAACACCTGCAGGTTTGGTCTGTAAACCAGAGAGCTGAGAGAATCACTGGGAGGGCAGAAAGCTCAAGCCAAACCCAAAGGAAGAAATTACCAGCTTCAGCTGCTGTCACCCAGTCACATGCAAGAGCTCTCATACCCATGAAAAACAAGAAGAAAAGAAATAGACACTGGGTAAACAGTTTTTACATGCATTCTCCAAGATTTATGTTCCCCTATCTGTAACATTTAAATTAAGCAGAGCAGACTTCATTTCAGCAAAGAGCTGGAGTCTGTTTCAAAATTAAAGTTGTGCTTAAATATAATATTGAAATAGCACAAATATGAAAAGTGGAAATGAGAATATGGGCAAAGTGAACAAGTTCTTACCGGCTAAGCTGAGAACCACTTCTGCCTGGTGAATCACTTTGGCAAGTTCAGTTTTCTCCTGCACTATGCATTTGTATGTATGTGCATCACTCTGGCTGACATTTAGCAATAGCAGAGAAAAATCACCATTTTCCAACCTATCCCAGAATAACTGAGTCCTGTCTTTAAAGCGAATACACTGATTACTGTTATCATCTCGGCCAGAGATCAGTGCATGTACAACTGAACACTTTTCTTGGTAGGAATCATCAGCTATTTGCCAATATACCCGTAGATGTTTTAATTGCAAGGGTTTTTTTTCGTTATAAATGCAACTTAGTGTGACGTTGTCTCCAAGTTTACTGATGATGTTCTTCTTCCCTGGTGCAGTAACTACAAGATTAAAAGAGAGAGAGACAGAGAAAAAAGGGAGGTCATATGGGGAAAAATGTAATTATTTTCAAGTACATTATACCACATATAGACTCTGGTATTAGTTTTATAGCAGGTAGGTGAGTATGCTCGCTTCATAGTCATTCCTATCCTCCAAATTTCCACTGGCTAATTCTCTCCATGTCTGTTTCTCTGTGCATTGTCCAAAGGGACCTTTTCTCTGAGAGCCAAGCAGTGTTAATCATTCCTAGCCCCATGGATACCCACTTTTCACTTTGCACACTGACTGCAGACACATATTAAAGTCCTAATGCTTCAATAATCACTTTTATTTTTAATTAAGAAAAATGCCAAATAACTCCACTTAGATCACAAGAAGTGGAAACATTGATAAGAAAGAGTGCTGCCATTATTTTGAGACCCAAAAAATTAAGAAGGGGAGTAAAGGTAGTATGTCTCAAAGCCGGCATGACAAAGCAACCACATTTTACTGCTGTTGTCAGTGACACCCTCTGAACAAATACACGCAGCTGGCAAACCAGGTACCTCCAGTGACACATTCATTAGACATTTACATCTTGAGGGTCACTTGAGGTAAAGTCAGGACCATATCTGGCTTTCAGAACACTTTTCCCGCCTTTTGGACACGAGAAAGGCAGCCTCTTCTCCACGTGGGCAAGGCAAAGGCATGAGGCGGCTGACAGCTGGTGCAGAAAGCACAGCTCAGTGAGTCCCACAGGGCTGGGCAGCTCTGCCCACAGCCTCCCTGCTGGATCCATCCCAGCAGCCAAAACCTCGCTGGTGCAACTGGTTGGAGGCACCAAAGCAGTGTTTGTGTTGTGAGTGCCAGGCAAGAGGGGTCAGGCATGGGGCTGGATGGGAGAGATTGCAGCTGGGGGAAGGGATTACGTGGGTGGATGGCTGAGGGGAAGGAAGATGACAGGAGTGGAGGTTTGGAAATGCAGAAACAGCATGGGGTGAGGTGGGAGGGAGGTGTCAATGTTAAAGGGGAACCTGTCTTTGTGAGGGTGCACTGGACTCAGAAACAGCTCATCTACACGTCTGAGTTGGGCACCCTGGTCTAAAACTACCACTGAGGCAGACACAGTGCTTGCAGGGAGAAAGGCAGGATGTTTACCAGGCACTGGGACTGAAATAACAGGCTTGAAGTGCAACACAATTGCTTGGCTCAGATTTTGGGAAACCTGTTGGAATAGCAGGAAAAGTAATGCCCTGGCAAGATGGGTGCAACTCCATGACTGGCCAGAAACCAGTCATGGTTTCATGCTGGCCAGCCAGCATCTACTGAGACTGAATCTGGTACAGTTTGGCCTGATATTGGGGCCAGGGAGTTTCCTTGGTGACTTTGTTGAGGTCCTTCTCAGTGGTTAAGAAAGAACAGAGGAGAGAACTTTAAAAACACTTAAATAACACCAGGTGGTGCAATTTAATTCTACCTTTGTTTTGCAAGGGATATTTTAGAACCATAGTAAAATTACTCATAGTAGGAGTAAATTTACCACTAATAAGCAGTAAATTTACCACTAATAAGTAGTAAAATTACTAGTATTGGCTGCTTGATAACGTGACGTATAATTCTACTCTTGATTATGTTTATCTGCTTATCAGCAGCTCTTATTACTCCACTTCTAAGGCCTTTTGTTGACAGAGATAAGTACACAGGGAGGTCTCTGAAGCAAGCAAAGCAATCTGAGCAAGAGCATCCATAAGGTCCCTTGCTGTTCTCTGCAATGAAACTGATAGAAATTGATTGTGCTTTCTTTCCCTGATGCATGTCAGAGAAACATTTCACTCTGAGGAATTCTTCAGTATGTTGTAGAAAACACAGAGATGTTCATATTGTACATTTTACAACTATTTTGTGCATTTGGCCAAACACATTAATGGGAGGGCAGTTAAATTTTTACTGAGTTTTTCTGAACTTACCAGTTTTGATAAGAAGGAGCAGTAACAGAAATCCGTATCTAAAATGAAAAGCAAACGGGTGTTACAACTGACTTTGCATCTCTGTTGTTTAAATAAGCAATAAACCCAATTTTGATTGTTTTAATATAGTGGCAGAAGTAGGTAAATTAGGTACTGCTCCCATGTAATGCCCCATTAAGTATTTGCATTTTTGACAGCTGCAAAACTTCTGTTTCTACAAGTCAGCAGTGGTGTGGTGGCCAAGGCCACGAATAGCAGCAAAATGCACTAATATTGGAATCAGGGCAGAGGGCATGAAGCTGGTATTGGGCCTGTCTTCTCTTCTGAAAGAATCAATTGGTCTGCTGGACAAGCAGGCTCTGGAGGCTGTCTGGGTCACTGGGAGGGACAGCGGCTGCACAGGTCAAACCCCAGGTTTTCCAACCTTTTGCTGAAGCTCAAGGAGTCATTTTGTCTGGTTAAAGGAAAACAGCAGCTGACCATGCTGCCCACCAGGTTGTGCACTGAGTAAAAATGTGTAAACAGGAAACCTGCTGATAGTGGAGAGCCGTGCAAAGGTTTTTGCTGGGAAGAATTTGGTGTGTTTGATTACTCGGGAGGGGCAAATCTCTGCAGGAGTTTCCCCAAAGGAAAGGAGGCCATAGGAAACCCAGTTTAACCCATCTATAAAGTCCAAGTGATTTAAGTCTCATCCCACAGGGATTTAAGATAAATGGACAGCACTTCCCTGTGAATTACTTTAAAATCGCCTTTCACCATCACACCTAGTTACACATTGTGCTCTCCTTCCTCCAGACTGCTGTAGGAAGGGAAAGAAAGGTGCTGGAAAGGTTTTGGAATGAGAACTGTGTGACTGAGCTGGCCACCTTAATATTGCTCAGGTGCAATAAGGTTGCAAAGCTGAGCTGATGGGCAGAGTGACAGGGGCACTGGCCTGTCACCAGTGTACCCAGCTCACCTTTGCAAGCACAAAGAGGTGTGAGAGGCCACACTACCCAGGTTCAGCTGGCTCCCTTCCCCCAGAGTTCTCATGATGCCTTAAGTTTTAGCTTTCACATTTTCCAGATTCTGTACTGCATTAGTGTATAACTCTGAACTGCATATAAAGTATTAGCAAGTTCTCTTCACAGTTTAATTAGATAAAACAATCCTTTTCCAGCCCAAGAACCAAGGACACTGTTGCAGCTTCAGTCCCAAAAAGTGTAACATTGAAATGAGGAGGGCAATCTGGGAGGATGGGACTGCATAACCTGAAGCTGTAATTGGATAATTAACCCCAAGATGTAAATAGATCAAAACTTACAAAAGTGTGAAAAGGTGTGACCCAGGAGCCCATCTTGGGTGTAGCCCTGGCCAGGCTCTTGTACTGCCCAAGGTGTATCCTTTGAAAGCCTTCTCAATAAATCCCTACTTTATTCCTTTAACACTGTCCAGCCTCTGTTCCAGGTAGCCTCTGTGCTCTTTGAAATGATTTGATAGATGAGGCTTGAAAAGTTTAAGTGGATGCCCAGCATGGAAAATTTCTGCTCTATTTCTTCAGTAAATCTGCAATCAGTCTCAAAGGAAGTCTCCCAGGGAAGCACACTTAAACATTCTGTTCTTGTGGAAAATTTCTGCTCTATTTCTTCTGTAAATCTGCAGTCTCAAAGGAAGTCTCCCAGGGAAGCACACTTAAACATTCTGTTCTGTCTCTTCTACTACTTCTCTTTCATTAAATAGTTTATTAACCAATATAAAAGATGTAAAACATACAACCCTACAAAACAACAATAGATTTTCTTTTACTAATGCATAAACATAAGTGTAAAGATTTTGACAGTGGCCTTTACACGTGGATTTGTATTTTATTTCTGTTGTATTTTTTTACACTGTGCAGGAGTCATCACTTTTGTGCCAGGCTCGTAGAGGTCTGTCTTGGCAAGCTCAGCTCACATAGTCATCAATCTTTCTTAATCCCATACCTGTGTTTGTTTTATTATCCCCATCCCAAGTTAGAAGCTGTGGATACAGCAACTCATTTGAATAGAATGAAAACAATAACTGACTGACGCTTATGTGACTCTCTAGGGAATTTCCCATGGTAGGCATTTGCTAATGCCAACAGACATTTAGATGTTCAGCCAGAACTGATTCTTATATGTATGTATACAAAGCAGATCTTGATTTCTTATTTTAATAAGTCAAGGTTAGACAGATCCAGAGATGCCTCATCCTTCTTCTTGAAGGAAGCTGCAGCTGTGGTTTTGTGGGGGCGGTGTCCACCCACCATATTCCCCTGGAATGGCTTTAGTTCCAAGCTTCAATTGGAAAAAGGGAGAAATGCTCTGCCTGCACAGAAACATCCCTTTTGCCCTCTACATTCACTCAGACCCTGTGTCCACCACTAGCAGTGATCTCAATTAAGTACTGGCATAGCTGCACTTCTTTGGGTCTTGCTCTCCTAATTTTTAAAAAAAATTATTATTTTTTTTTATACCTTTTCAATTCTTTCCCACACCTTCCTCTTCTGCAAGTGTTTTAAAATGCCGTGTGAAACAGGAGAAAGTTGCACTTCTCCTTTCATGGGTGAGATGATTCTTCCTACCAGCACCTCAACTTTTTCATCACTACTCCTCTTAGAGCCATGGGATGTTGCTGCCGTGGCAAGAGACATCCTGATGCTTTCAGTAACAGCTCTGGGGGCTTTGCTCCACTACTGAGACCCACTTTGTCCCCATGCCTTGTGGCGACACGGCTTTTCTCGATCAGCAGGTGCCCTAAGCAGGTCACCTGCGGAGCTTTTCTAACACCTGCTGTAAAGCAGCGCTACCCGGGGCAATAAACCCCAGGTTAAGTCATGTCCCATCGCAACCCTTCAGCTGAAAATATCCACAAAAGGCCCGCTAATTGCCTGGAGCCCTCGATGGCCGCGTACGGACAGGGGACCCCTGCCCGGGCTGACGGCGAGCTCAGGTAACCCCCGGCTCCCCCTCCCGGCTCCGGGAGCGCTGCGGGCGGAGAGGAGCGGCTCCGCAGCCTGTCCCAGGTCCGGGGGTCGCCTTGAGTGCATTTTAGCAGCCCAAGCCCGCCAGCGCTTTCCCTGCCCGCCGCAGCAGCAGCAGCAAAACTCGCGTTTCCCAAGGGAGATGCGCATCCCTGCCCGGGCAGCGGCCGCCGCGTCCCAGCGCGCACAGGGAGCGGCAGCAGCGACCCTTCCCCGCGGCCACCACTCACCCTCGCGGCTTCATCGTGCCGGAGCCGTGCCGAACCAGCCGAGCCGAGCCGAGCAGAGCCGAGCAGCAGCTGCCCGCCTCGGGCCGTTCCCTTCTCCCTCCCACGCCTTCTCCGCCGGGGATTTCCGCCTTCCGAGCAGCGCGGGACCCAGCCCGGCCTGGCCTGGCCCGGCCCGGTCGTGAGGGCAGCTCGGACACCCACTCGCAACCCTTTCAGAGCCCACTGAGCCCTTTCAGAGCCCACTGAGCCCTTTCAGAGCCCATTGAGCCCTTTCAAAGCCCAGTCGGTGCCGCTGGAGTGGGGATCCCGGCTCCTGCAAATCCATGTGCCCTGCGGGGAGGACGCCGGTCCCCGTGAGGCGGGCCGGCCCTCAGCGCTGCCGGGGAGCCGGGGCTGGGCTCGGAGACAGCGGCTCCTCTTGGCTCTGCGAGGCGCTGGAGATCGGGCCCCCGGCCCCGGGGGAGGGCAGGGACTGCGCCCGGTGGTCTCGAATAATCCTGCCTGGGAAGCGGGAAAGTTGTGTTTCGAAGTGCGCTTAGGTGTATGTTTGCATAAATAGCATGTTTAGTCTGTATTTTGTAAATAGCTAAATGGGGTTTGATAGAGAACAGAACCGCACCTGGAGCTGTTGTAGGTGTGTTGGTGAGGGGGTGTTTCAGCACCACCAGGCTGTTTGAAAGCTGCGGTTCTCAGTCTTGACAATTTCATTTTTGGCTCCACATCAGTGGCTGTGTTTGCCTTGTTTGTTGTCAGGAGCTCAAACCCAGCTGGGACCTCTTTGCCAGCGACAGCGTTTGTGACACACAGCACAAAGCTGTCGCAGCAATGGTTAAACGTTCATGTTTTATTTTTTTCTTGCTTTTAGTCACCCTGGGAATACGATTACGTTGTGCACAATGAACATGAAACTCTGGGGTTGTGCAAGACTCGCAGTCTCAAGGCTGTTTCCGCTGCCAGCCAGCAGCAGGAAGGGGGATTTCAGTTTTGGGTCTTACAGCTGACGCTGCTTCAGCCTCTCTGTGTATCACTGACACCTGCAAAGCAGTGGTCAGTTTGGGAGGGTAGGCTTAAATTTGTACTAAGTTTAAAGGAAGAGAAACATTCCTATGGAATTACGCCTGAATCAGAACATATTTGCATCAGCCAATTCATGGCTTTCAGTGAAAGATTTCCTGATGGGATATCTTAGTTTGGGAACTGTTCTTTTGATATTTTAGGTGTTGTTTTTAATAACAGGCATTTGGTGAATGGGGATGCACATGGAATCAGTGCTTTGTGGCTAAAAACTTCCTGACTTTAAAAGCTTGGGGGTTTATATGTGACTTTTTACTATTCTGGATATATATATATATATTTTTTTTTTCTAAGATACATAATTTGAAGGAACTCTTCTGCTGTTCTTTGCAATGCGTGACTTTTTACAATTCTGGATATATATTTTTTTTTCCTAAGGTACATAATTTGAAGGAACTCTTCTGCTGTTCTTTGCAATGGCTTCTATCCTGCTTTTTTCATAACTATGTACCAGTTTTGGTGGAAAGGAATTTCCTAATAAGTAAGAAAGGCAAATGTGTCTCCATAGCCAGGAATCTCTTTAGGATTTCAAAAGGTCAGGTTGCAAACCACTTTGCTGCCTGTATCAGACTTTTGAATACAGATTGCCTGATGAATTTTTAAACTATGAAAAAAAAAGGATGTCAGGAAACGAAAGTAACTCCCATAGCTTGTGTGTAGCAAATATGTTGCCTATGGACTTTGAAACTAGAAACACTAGGAAGATTTGGGGAAAAAAAAAAAAAAAAAAAGGAAAACAATATCCCAGTTTTTCCAGGCTCTTAGACAGAGAGGTGAGAGAGCTGTTTGCTTTCAAATATGTCATGCAAAGAGAATTGGTGGATCTGCAAAACACTAATCTGATTAATACAGTTATTGAGAATCCAGAGTGAAACAGGGACGTATCTCTCTCCATATGTAGAAGAAAAGATCTCAGACAGATTGAACACCTCTGGGGACAGGAAAAAAGGGTGACATGGCTGTGTGTGGTGTGTAGGACTTCAACTGTATTTGGAGACAGCCAGCCGTGAAAGAAGTGCTGTGACACCTGAAACATATCACATCCTTATGGAATGATGTCCACAAATCTCTGGTTTTTGCACTGTGGAGGTTTCAGTGCATGGTACAAAAGCTTTACTAGAGTGAAGTTTGCAACTGAGTAAAAGTTGCAACTGGGAAAAAGTCAAGAGAGAAATCACAGTAGCTTTGGCCACTTGTGTGATTTTATGTAAGGCTAAAGAGCAAAAGAAGGTACAAGGTGTGAATGATTTTGCTACACTTTTCCAACACCTTTTCTCTGCCTACAGAGAAGCTAGTAGAATTAGCAAATGGTGAAGGGACATTTAACAGAGGATGAGAGGAGGATAGTGCACAAACATAATTTTTTTTCCTTAACTAGTGGAGACAGTGGAGTAAGACAGCAAAGCTGACTGCTAAGAGCAGTCTGGTGATGAGAGAAAAGATGCAATTGCGATTAAAGTATCTTGTGATTCTGAGAAAACCATTTGTCAGAAGACAATGAAAAAGAGGAAACAATAGTCTGTCTGTTTGCTCTCTTGCTCACATTTTGTTGTCACACCAGGCACTCAGGGAATTGGCCAAAAATATAACCTTAAACACCCAAATTTCAAGATTGTTCCATGCAAAAGAGAAAACCTGTAGCCCTGTAAAACACATGTTTTGGGCAAAATGTACTCTGTGTGTGTGGCAGCAGTGGAAATGCATTTATTTATATGCAGAGAAGAAAAGTACTGTGTTATATTTAG